CACATGATAATTTCTATTTTCTATTACAAGTAATTAAAGTGAAACCAAATAAAAATAAAAATATAAAAAAAAACAAAAGAATCCCCTCATATCTGGCTACCCGCACAACCACATAACCACAGGGAACCAGCCGTATCTCATATACACAAGTTGCTCTTGGACAGCGTGGGACAACCCAGGTAAAATCTCGAACAAAATTTTTTTAAGCCCTGTGCTTAGTTTCGTTAACGGAGTAATCATGCGATATTATTCGAACACATGGTTGCTACCAAACGGGACATCAAATTGTTTGTCTGGAAAAGTCCCGTTTGGCTTCGGTAGCTTTCAATTCCACAAAAGTGTGGTCGTTCACTTCTACTTGGGCTACTAAGCGAACAGCACACAAAATTTAACTTTTAACTAATGATAGTTTTTATTAATTAGATAAAATAAAAACACTTGGGTCATAAACCACGTTTAAACAATTAAATTAAATTATAAATAACTATGGACGATTAATAAATAAAATATTTGTAATAAATAAATATTAACTTATTATAAACATTCTTCTTCAAAAGGATCAAAAATATCGAGATCAGCAAATTCTGGCATTATTGTAGGTGTAGGCAAACCAACCCAGCGGCACCATTATGCCAGCGCTGAAAAAGTAAGCGAGGATAGCTCGCTTACCTTAATAGCTCTTCGATTTTATTTTTCTTTGTTTTGTGTTCGACATAGGTAATTTCGGGGTTGAAATTAGAAAAGAATGAAAAAGAAAAGTATTTGAATATGAATAATTTCTTGTTTTATCTGCATTGTATACATTTAGTATGTTTTTGATTTCAGTGAAGTCCGTCAAATTAGTGCAATGAACAAGTTTTAATTTTTAAAATCAAAATAAAATCTAAAAATATAAATAAAATATAATTTGTGAATCTAAAAATATAAATAAAATCTAATTTGTGAATTTAACATAAACTAACTGTAAGTATATGCAAAATTAAGTAAATATATTTAAAATTTTAAATGTTATTTTTTTGTTTTGTATTATGTAGATGCTACTGCGTCAAGAACGAATAATTGACCAATGTGTTGTGAATGCAGTCCTTCTAAAGCAAGATGCAGTCAGCTGCTTCAATTGGAACAGTTTCCAATTCAATCTGATTAGGATTTCATTCAGTTTAACGAAGAAATAACTGCCGTTGAAGTAGTTGTAAGTTTAATTATTTATGTTTTTTGCCTTCAATTTCAACTTCAAAATATTAAAATTTCACATGTAACAATTTTACTTATTCAAACATTTCTTTTCATCTATTACGTTATTTATAGGCTGCATCAATGAGATGCGTTATTGACAAACAACCAATTACGCGAAAGACTTCGTGGAATTTTGGAGAAAGTATACTCATAAATTACAACTTTGATGGTACACAAGGCAAGAAGTCCTTAAGAGCGTTAAAGAATGTGACAGCAGCACTTTTTGGTATGGTATATTGTACATAATTTACTTTAGCGTATACAATAAAATACTTTTGTATTTACAGATGGTTTAAGGAGAGATGGTAAGCCGGACAAGTGATCAGGTCGAGTCTGGAAATCTCTTCAAGTCTCTAGTAATAATTCCACAGAAAAATATTCTTTTATATAAATATGTAAATATGTTATATTGTTTTATGTAAATATTAATATTTTAATTTTATAAAACATAAATATAAAATATAATTTATCCAAAAAAATTTTTAGTATTTTATTTAAAAATCAATAGCATAGGTAAAATTGAAAAGGTGAGCTAACATGTCAGCGCTGATAACAAATTTGAAAAGGTAAGCTAACATGTCAGAGCTGATATGTTGCATTAAAAATTCGAAAAGGTAAGCGAACATGTCAGCGCTGATATGTTGCATTACAAATTCGGAAAGGTAAGCGAACATGTCAGCGCTGAAATGTTGCATTTCAAATTTGAAAAGGTAATCGAACGATTCAGCGCTTGCCCGCAATGACATGCTCGTGTTAAAGTAATTAGGAGTTTCCTTTAAATAATCAGCGCTAGGCATTACCATTCAGCGCTGAAGCAATCGAATACCTCAGCGCTGAAAGTCCCGCTGGGAAGTGACGTACATGTAACATTATGTGTTAACAAAATATCCTCGAAACATCTACACTACAACCATCTCTAACGAAGCGCTGGAATATTTAAGGCACAAATAATCGCAAACAAATTACTTATTTTTTTTTGCTGAATTAAATATCTTAACTTCATTCAGACAAGCTCTTCACTCATTATCGTTGGACGCAATTTCCCTAGCATGACATGCTTCGATAAATGTGCTATAAACAATTCCATTGTATGTACCCACATCTTCATATGATTTTGGCCCTTTTACATGCAACAAAAGTAATCTTAAATGGAATAGATCAATTTCTTTTGGAAACACCGAGTAATATTTTTACCTCCTCGTCGTTGCCTTTTATTTTTTTTTTTTTTTTTTTTTTTTTTAAACATACATTTATTT